AGAAATGATGGTAAAATTGATGAAAAACAGCAAATTACAGAACCACCTATCCATGTAAAAAGAATAAAAAGAAGTATAACTTTAAAAAACTAACACTTAAAAAATAAAGAAATACTAGAAATATATCTATGGAGCTCAAAGACAAAGGAAGAGGGAAGAACCCAAAGGAAATGAAGCTAAAACCAGAAAAGACACACCAGACCATCCCAATGATGAAATGAAACAGAGTGGATAAGGTTCTCTAGTAGATAGTTAACTGACTTTCATAAAAGTCTTGGAGAAAACTCAATGACATCTTTGCAAACTTTGGTGTTGAAGTAATTTCAGGTCCATGTACCAGAAAATAACTCTTGTGCTACTAAATACAACAAAATGATGAAAGGAGAATCATGTAATCAAATGTAAAACATGAAAATATAAACTATAATATATCTATAAAAATGGCATATGAGGAAATATTTCGAATTTAGTGGAGAGGAAACTTTCTTTCAATACACCAATTATTTATATAAGGAAAAAAAAGTACTCATTTGATCTTATTAAGGTTCAAACCTTCCCTTGGAATGACACTATTAAGAAAATGAAAGGACAAGCTGGGAGAAGATATTTCTTTAAATAGGGAGAAAATATTTGTACCTAACTTCTCAGATAAAAGCCTGTAATCCTAGCTACTCGGAAGGCTGAGATCTGAGGATCGAGATTCAAAGCCAGCCCTGGAATTGGCACTGTGGCACTGTGGCTCAAGAGGTAGAACACTCACCTTGAGCTGAAGAGTACAGGGACAGCGCCCAAGCCCAGAGTTCAAGACCAACAAAAAATAAAATAAAATAATTACCAAGTAAGAATTGGAAAAAAATAGACAAAAATCCCAACACACACACACACACACACACACACACACACACACACACACACACACACACACACACACACACACACCCTAACATCTTTAATCAAAAAGTAAATGCAAATTGAAATCATAATAAGCAATTACTAAAAATAATGTTTTATTTCTTAATGTTGATGGTAGCCAATTCGAGTGTCCCTTGTGATTCCATGCTTGTACCATAGGCATGTTTGTGCAACTAACATTTTTATTTCACTAAGATTTAATGAAGAAGGCTATGAAATTGTAGAACATTAACACTCTGTTCATAAGGTAAAGAATCTCAACTGGCTTAAACAAAGTATGGCCATGTATATTCTATGTAAAAAAGTGTACTTAACATAGTGAGACTTGAGGGACTATAAGGAGAAAAATGGGAAAAATAAATTATGAGCACAGTACACATAAGAAAGCTGCTATTGTTTGTTGGCACCAAAGAGAAGTATTTTATTATGATTAAAGAGTCAATTCATCAAAGTACTGGGGAACAAATAATAATTATCAGAGGCACAGCAGGGCAAACTAACTGAATAATGAGGAGTGCAAAGGAATACATATATAGATATAAACAGATATATAGATATATAGTTAAACACACGTCATGTGAATTTTAATTCTATTTTTAAAATGGAAAAAACAGCAACAACAACAAAAGGGAAATAAATATACGAGGCTATCAAATAAAACAATCAATATCACAACTATTAGCATTAATAATTCATTATAATTCCACAATATTTACCCCAATTCTAAACACAAACTCTTCAAAGGATGAACTTTTTATTCCTACCTCTATTTGAAGCTTGTTCTTTTGCTTAGATATTTTTTTTCTCTATTTGATTTTATGTTTGCACTTAAATGAGGAATACAAATATTGAACTTAAAAATAAATTGATACAGGGTTGAACCCATGTGTGATCAGAAAAATCGAAATCATTTTTCTTTTCAGACAAAAGTATTAAAATGAATTGCCATCCAGCTAAGTGGAGACATTACAGTGACATGAGTAATAATCCAGTTGCTGCAAAAGGCTGCAGTGTTTGCTGATTACTCTATGGTAAGTGTGTCAGAAACAGAGCTTAGGGACAGATTTCATCCTCTAAAATTATTTCCACTGAGGAGGACAAGCTGGCACCTTGATGATTATGGGAGAATAAACAAAACAAAATAACTCAGGCAGCTGACATAGGCTGGGGACCAGTACAAACTACCCACTTCACTGGACCTGTCCATCCAGTCTTCTCTCTTAATTTACTTGTTGATTTATTCCATGAATGAATTTATCTTCTACTTGTCCCCTACTCCCACTTCAGGTGTTCAGAGTTAGAATAGGTTTCCTAGTTCTTATACTCAGAAGAATGAGACAAAACTCCACTATACTGGTCACAGAGGAGTGAGCCCTTGGGTCTGCAGAAATAAACTGCACTGGCTACAAGAGAATGGTTAGAGGATACCAATGATGTTAAGGAAATAACAATGTCTCTAGGGTTAAAATGTATATTATTTAATAATATGTAACTTTTATTCAAATATCTTCTGAGAATTGAGATGGTTGTGGTGTGTGTGTGTGTGTGTGTGTGTGTGTGTGTGTGTGTGTGGGGCACTTGTGAACTTCATGTAATCTACACATAAAAGACCATTGAATCATCTAATGTTAGCACATGTGTGCTCACAACTGGACACTGAGTTAAGTAATACAAATGTTTTCACCATTCATTTCAACAAATGCTTGCTCATTACATATGTATGCAGCATCTATGATATACCAAGCTCTGGATTAAATACTGTGGGAACTATAAAAATGAATTAGTTATAGATTCTTCTCTAAGCACCTTATTATCCAGGGTCAGAGGAAATTTTTAAAAAAGCTCCAAATTTAACTTTCAATTATAAAATGATGTGTGTTGCAAGAAGGCAGATAGAATATGCAGAGGGAGCTGGGTGTTGGTAGCTTGAGCCTGTAACCCTAGATCCTCAGGAGGCTGAAGAGTCAATTCCAAGCCCAGCCCAGGCAGACAAACTTAGAGACTCTTAGCTCTAATTAACCAGGAAAATGACAAAAATGAGGGCTGTTGAGTATATAGTAGAGTGCTGGTCTTGAGCAACAAATGTTAAGTGAGAGCATAAAGCCCTGAGTTCAAATCTCTGTACCAGCCCACAAGAAAAGTGCCAATGGAGTATTCCAAAGAGGAAACTAACTCTGGGAGTGAAATTTATAGAGGACATATATCAAAGAATGCATTATAGATGATTTAATTTTGGGGGGAGGGGTGGGAATTGTTCAGATTATCATCAGGTCAGATTTCACTGGAGATAGCTCTTGGAGACCATCTAAATTACAGAACTGCAGCCAGGAGGGTGAGGCAAGCTGACAAACATGACAACTTATCTAGTTCGAATTCAGTATAAGTTTACATACTTTTCCTGGAGATGAGGCCTGGAATGCAAAAGTTGAAAACAAATGTAAATGGACCAAAAATGGGAAAATGCAAGAAATTAGAGTGTGGCAATGACATACATTGAGCTGCAAACATCCTGTACTGTTTGCTTCTTATTCCTCAGTATCCAGTAGAGAGACAGGCACTTGGTTGATATCTAGTAAGCAAATATGTTTATAGTTTATATTTCCTGAGCACTATGTGCCTAGCCCTATTCCAGTAACTTTGCATGGGGAAGCTTATTTAATTATCAGTGCATCTCCTGGGTAGTATTAGATAGATAGATAGATAGATAGATAGATAGATAGATAGATAGATAGATAGATAGATAGATAGATAGATAGAATTGACATACAGTGACAGTACATTTTTCTGGGATATAGTGCAAAATATAATGTGGTAATACAGAAAATATATAATATCAGATATGGTTAAGGGGCATGTTTGTTACTTAAGAAATTGTGTCTGTGTCTTTGTGTTGGGGACATCCGAAGTCACATTTATTGTTATGAAACTCCATTAATTGATGTCAGCCATAGTTAACCTACCATGCTATTGACTTAAAAAAAATTCTTTCTCCTATCCAGTTGCAGCCTTGTGCAATTAACCATCTTTTCACCATTCAGCCATTTGAATATCCTTCTTATGCTCTAGTAACCATTATTCTATATTTGCTAAGAAATTTTAGTTTCCACATTTAAGTAAATAACACATGGTCTCATTTGTATGGGTAACCTATGCTGTTTTGGACATCATTATCTCTGCTTTGCAGATAAAGTAACTGAGATATGATATTTAAGTTAAAAACTTTACGGTCATACTGCTTTGAGATAAGAGAGAAAGCATATTAGCCAAAGGCTCAACTGGTCATCTCTACCTCTCAATGAATAAATATCTGACTGATAAATGAAGACCTTCATACTCTAAAAAACTAAACATTGTACTCTTTCACCTCATGAAAAATTGGCAGATGAAAGTAGATATATTCCACTGGATTGAATCACAGCCTTGGAGGTTTGTTTTCTCGGTGATAAAACAAAAAAAAGGAGTTCTTGATTTCGGTCACATTCCTTCTATCGTGAAAAGAACATGGCAGGTATTCAGTATTTGTTTCCTCATTGAACCACACAAACTGTACCAAGATAGCTCCCAGAGTTTACTGTCAGGTATTTACAATCCAGAACCAATGATTTGCTAAGATACTGGCTACAATGTCTGACATCCTGTGCCAGGAACTACCTAGTTATAAGACAATCATGAAGATGGACCTCATATAGGAAAATAGAATAGAATTCTGGGGATTCTCAGGATGTATAAAATAACATCCTATCGGAATTCTTCCTCACATTGAGATAATAATTTTTTCTGTTCCCAAATAACACAAATTCTTTTACTCACTTAGAATACGGGACTGTGACATTTCTAAAAAGAGGCATCAATCCAGCCGTGTTTGGAAGTAAGTATGGCATGAACTGGGCAGGGCAATGATGTTAGGAGTTAGAAGTCTATGAGTTCTGTGATAGTTAGAAGAGAATGTGGCACCAGATCCAAATCCTACTCTGGTCTTCAGTGGGTGAGGGGCCAAAGTCAAGCTTCCCACTGCTTGGACATTATTTTTTTCATAGTTAATATGAAGACAAGAATAACAAGTTTAAGGGCAAAAAACTATTAAGGGAGTGTTGTGTGAAAGGAGAGAAGGTTGGAACTCCCTTTGACAAGGATGGAAGAGGCCCTCGGCCCTGACAACATCATACAGTTGAGGCATTTCACCTACTTTGTGGTGTCTAACCATCTTGATGGTGGGAGTGCAAACTTGTTCAACCACTTTGGAAAGCAATATTGAGGTTCCTCAAAAAAATTCCCCTATGCCAGGTGCCGGTGGCTCACGCCTGTAATCCTAGCTACTGAGGAGGCTGAGATCTGAGGATCACGGTTCAAAGCCAGCCCAGGCAGAAAAGTCCATGAGACTCTTATCTCCAATTAACCACCAGGAAGCCAGAAGTGGTGCTTTGGCTCAAGCGGTAGAGAGCGAGCCTTGAGCTGAAGAGCGCAGGGATAGCACCCAAGCCCAGAGTTCAAGCCCCATGACTGACTTTAAAAAAAAAGAAAAGCTCCTTTATGACCCAGCGATCCCACTTTGGGGCATTTACCCAAATGATCACAAACAAGGCTGTACTAAAGCTACTATCAGAGCTATGTTTATTACAGCATTATTCACCATAGCTAAAATATGGAACCAACTGGGATGCCCCTCAGTAGATGAATGGGTCAAGAAAATGTGGTATATAAATACAATGGAATTCTATGCCTCCATCAGAAAGAATGACATTGCCCCATTTGTTAGGAAATGGAAAGAATTGGATAAATTACATTAAGTGAAGTAAGCTAGGCCCAAAAAAACATAGGTCTCATGGTTTCCTTATTTGCAATAAATAGTACATGTCTAGTACAAGCAGAAAAGGTCAAAAGCTATATACATTTGACCATATAAGATGATGCTAAGTGAAATGAACCCCAAGATAGGGACACAAGAGGTTTTATCTTTGTTGCTGTTGTTTTTAATGTACTTATAACATACTGTGGGATTTTTTTTTTTTTGGTTTCTTTTGTTTGTCTTTCCCCTATTGTATAACCTTTTTTTCACTGTAATTGATTCCAATGCCCTACAAGATTCTTGTATATACATTTTTCTAATTTGGTGAAGGGAAAGGATATAACAAAATGATGAAATAAGATTCCAGGTTGACCCATTGTAACAATGAGATGTACAAGACACTACATTGAAAACGAACCTTACAACTTCAGGGTGGGGGAGGGGTAGGGAGGAGTTGGGGAGGTGGGGTGGGAAAGGATGATAGGGGAAAAACAAAGGAGGAGGTAACAATGCTCAATAGGAAATATACTCATTACCTTACTCATGTAACTGTAACCCCTCTGTACAGTATCTTTATAATAAACATATATATTAAAAATTATAAAAGAAAATGTGAATAAATGTACAGCCACAAAAAAATTTTAAAAAAAACTATTAAGGGAGTTTATACACAATAATGTATTGTGTGCATGTTTTTCTAAGCAAAAATTAAAATGAATTTCAAGTTAGGCTATTGTTGGAAATGTGTTTCTATCATATTGACTCAGATGAGAGAGCTAAATTATCAAAGTTTAGCACATAAAATATTGTCCAATCCAACTGTGGATGGAATTAAACTCTCAAACTTTACTGAAGTCAAATAGATAAATGACCCCTATGTTTCCCAACTCCTGTTTTCTCTATTTCTAGGTCCATTGGAGAAGAAGAAAACACAAGCAGGACACTGAAGTGTTCAGTCAAGCACTAACATTATTTTTTAATTAAATCCAACTATATGGTGGCCAAGTGGATTCCCATTTCTTGTTACATGTTCCTTTAATACAAGTGTATGTGTATATGTTTGTGTGTGTTGGGAGGGGGAATATTTCCTTTGCTAATACAACAAAGAACTGCTGCACAGTAACTTGGACATTGAAATGTCATTATTATACAATTCTGATGACCAGAGTTCTCATCAAGATAAAATTAGGCTGTAGGGCAAGGTGTTGCTCTTTCTGGAGATTCCAAAATTGAACTTTTCCCTTATTTTTCCAGCTTGTAGAGGCTGCCCAGCATTAAGATGGCTGTTACAGTCTATCTCTAAAGGAGACATTTGCTTCAGTCTGACCTCTGCTTCTCTCACCAAATCTCTGACTTTCCTGCTTCCTTTTTGCCCTCTTAAGTAGCTTTGTGATTTTGATGTGTCCACTCAGATAATCCAGGATGATCTCTTCATCCAGAGATTCTTAACTTAATCACATCTGCCAGCTACAAAGTCCATTTTTTTATGTAAGATAACCTATCCACATGTACCAAGGATTCACTAGTTTTCTCTACTGCCATTTAGTGAGTATCAATTAAATAGAAACACAATCTTTGAAAGGCCATTACTCTGACAAGCATAGGTTGTTGGCTTTTATTTGTTGTCGTTGTTTTATTTTCCAACGTGTACTTACCTCCTGCTCAGGGTAGCAGTATCACTGGACTTTACTCATGTATTAACTTCTGAAACAATCTCATCATGAGCAAAGGTGCTCACCTTGTGAAGGAAGTATTCTGAGGATGCTCAAAATGGAACAGGCCAGTCCCAGCATGTACTGCACAGAGCCTTTTCATTTTTAGGACTCAACCTGGCAGCTGCTCACACTGGCTTCTAAAAGCAGCCAGAAATGCAGGTAAGGAAGTGGCATGTTCAGAAGAATTCAGCTTGAGAATGGATGCTTCCCATCAAACAAACATAGCAATGACCTTCTGTCCTTGAAAAATCAGCCCTGGATCCCACCCTTGGATTTTCTTTTACAGACTGCTCCATAATCCAGAAAGCTATGTTTTCTTCATGCATATTCCTATACCCCCAGCCCAAGAAAAATGGTGCAGAAAAAATACTTTTATTATCTTTTATTTTGCCCTCTGAAATCTAATTCTGAGCATGAGGAGAATTGTCTGCACAGAGCCAGATTTCATGTTCATTAATGTAATTGGACATTAGCACCATGGCTACATCCTCCCACTCAGTAGTGAAAATGACCCTCTTCCCAGATTATCATCAATAACAGCACAGTGATGGCCTGGCTGGGACTGACCAGGTTGTAACTAAGCTCTCAGTCCCTTGGGCAATAGGTGATTTTTATTTACAGTGACAAGATGATCTTTACACTTGTTTCTCTTTGGACTGTACACACAGCTCTATCCATAAGTCACAACACAGCCAGACTGGCTCTTTCTGCCCTGCACTTTACCTAACTGACGAAGTGTCAGCCTTAATTTCTCCACCATAGAAAAGTTTCATCTCTCTTGCCCTAGGGATGTTTTCTTGACCTCTCCAGACGTGTGATTGGGAGCAGTTTGGTCTTTCCTCATAAGCTCCAAACATTTTCTTTCTTTTCCATTGCAATTATTATCTCCTGTGACATTTACAAGGACTGGTTCTGCAGTAGCTAGAGCTATAAGCATACAAGGAGCCTTGGCGACCCAGAATTCTTTTCTGCTTGAACATGCCAGTTAATAACTACACAGGCTTTCAGCGTGAATTTGTGATTGGAGCTTTTCAAATAGGTGCCTTCCTTCAAAAATAGCCTTTGTCAGTAGGAGCCTTCCACAAAATGTTTGAAAAATTATAATCAAGCCTTATTATGTAAATAAAATAGATGATTTCATGTAAACAAAGCATTTACTTTTTCAACTCTCCAATTCTCAGGTAACTATGATTTGTGCTTTTTGTTGTACATGATTGAGGTTCACACAATGTCTAGAAAAGAGCGTATTCTGGATTTTAAATCTGTGTGTGTGTGTGTTCTGGGGCTCAAATTTAGGGCCAGGATGCTGTCCCTGAATTTCTTTTCTCTAATGCTTTCTTTTTTCTTTTTTTGGGTGGGGGTAGTTAATTGGAGATACATATCACAAATTTCTGCTCAGACTGGCTTCAATTCTCAGATCTCAGCCTCTGGAAGAGCTAGGATTGCAGGTGTGACTCAAGGCCTTTTTGAAAATAGCTATGGGCTGGCTAGAAGTGGGCTGGACACATCGCTCATAGGTTATGCCCTCTCTGATGAGTCACCAACTTCTTCAGAACTTCATTTCTCTAATTGCTTAAGAAAAAGCTCATCCTCAAGCTTTTCTTTCCCACCTCTGATATCCTGGAAATAATTCCTGGCTAACACCTTGGAACCTTTGTTAATAGCTTTATGGAAGTGTTGCTTGCCTGTGATAAATAAAGAATTCCAAAAATAAATAAAGAATTCTGTACTTATTACAGCTGACATTCCATCCGCATATTTTTGCTACCCAACTACAGAAATTCATACTGGAACCAGATGTGTGACCTTATGCACAGAAAACTACATTCAGAGCCCCACAGGTTTTGAAGGTAAGCAAAAAGATGGCACCCAGTGGGTTTATTTACTGAGGTCATTCTAGCAAATACTTTACTTAACTAAAAACATTAATACTTTAAAAGTATTTTTATTTTATATATTCTGTCTCCAGACAGTGAGATTTTGCTTTGATACAAGTTAAACTCAGCTCATCAGGGTGATTTGCCTTGTTTTTTTTTTTTTTTTTTTTTGTAATGATCCACTGATTTTTCTTCATTTTTTAAGTTCTCTTGAAGGTAAAAGAAAAATGTTCCCTTAACCTCTATACACATCTCTTCTATATTCAAAATATTTTGCAGAGTTTCATAGCTCCTACATCATTCCACAGGCAATCTATATCCTTATATTCTGTCTGTTATAAAGTCCCAGTGAGATCCTGGCCTCTGATTGTAGGCCTCCAAAGAACAAATTCTTAGTGAGAGTAGAAGAATAGTCACTTTGAAATTTAACTTCATCGCCTGAATTATTGGCAATCAAATAAGGAGGATATTGAGAAAAGAAAACATAGTGTGTGTTTTTAATTGAGGATGAGTAAGTGGCCAACAATTATTTAATGGGTGCTTTAGAATTTCAGTCATATGCAGAGTTAATCACAGGGTTTGTCAGTATCTACCTCAGCATAGGAAACCAGAGTCAGCAGCATCAGTAGCATCTGAGACTCTTTTAGAAACAAATTGTCAAGCCCCTTCCCAGAGTTAATAAATCACCTCTCTGTGTTTTAATGATTCTTCTGGATGATTCAGATGTACATTTGAGCATCCAAATCAAACAATTTCTACTCTTAGAAATTGTAAGTGGCCTTACCTCACTAAATGAAGCAAAGTAAAACCTTATGACTTATCATGGAAACATGC